CCTTAACTCCTGAGTACCATATTTTAATATTCTTACCTCTGAAATGGGAAATAACTTCCTTTAATGCATATTATACATGAAAAGTTGTGTCAAGAAAAAGCACTTGTATGACTGATTCATGAGCTGAACTAACAGTTTTTTTCTCATGGAACATCATTCTTACTCAAAACAAAATGACGACGAAATATGGTTATTCAGATTTGGGTATTTGGTGAACTTTTTTTTTTAAAATAAAAAGTCTGTCATTTCAAAAGAAAAGAAGAAAGGCAGGGAGGGAGGGAAATATGCCTTACCAAACGTAATAATTAGAGCAGTCAAAGCAAAATTGAGAATTTTGGAAAATCTGTATGTGTTACCATGCTTGAAGGCTTCCGAATACTCAGACTTGTCTAATGAGATCAGTGATGACATTAACACATGTGCAGGATCTATGTAACTCAGTGAGCCAACACTTTGCACATGATCTGTGCATCATGTTACAGAATCATGCAAGGGTAAAAGATCATTCAAAGTACAAGACACACCAATGGATTTTAAAGTAACAGAACAGGAGAAGCTCACTGAGAAGATCTGAATTTCCACAATACAAGCTTTAAAAAAAAAACAACACTACTACTTTTTGAGTTTTACTGTAGTAACAAACAACATGCAGAATTATTTACAAGGGATAGTTAAGGACTCTAACTGCAAATCTGCGTGAGGCCAGATTTTCTTTAAATTCTGCAACCAAAAGAACTCGCCGCAGCAGGATGGATGAAGAAACAGACATGAGAACCTAGCTGCTGCCTCTTGAACCAGATGTTAAAGAAAGTTTCGGAGATGTACAGCAATGTCTCCCTTCTCACTAAATTATCTCTGAGTAGGAAAACGTAGCTACTTTCTGTAAAAGTGCTGTTTATGTTAATATGTAAAGGATTTACTGTTGTTATTTTTAACAAATTAACAAATACTATTAAATGTTCCCAGTTTGGGCTTCCCTGGTGGCTCAGTAGTAAAGAATCCGCTTGCTAACGCAGCAGACAGGGGTTTGACCCCTGCATCAGGAAGATCCCTGGAGAAGGGAATGGCAACCCACTCCAGTATTCTGCCTGGGAAAACCCAAGGACAGAGAAGCCTGGTGGGCTACAGTCCATGGGGCTGCAAAAGGGCTGGACATGACTTAGCAACTAAACAACAACAGCAAGCAAATGTAACCCACACAAACAAAAGCTTCCCAAGTCACTAATTATTTCTAAGATGATAAGAAGGGCTGAGGCCAAAGAGTGAGCACCAGTGATCCAGAGCACCCTGTTCCTCAGAGGCTGCATCAGCTGTCTGTCCTGACTGTCCCCACCCCATCTTCATCCTTCTCACCTCACAGCACAGCCCCTAGCTGCACACACCTAAAAGCTTCCAATAGAGCAGGCTGTGATGTGGGATCCTGTAACAGGATCATGTAACAGGCATGGGCCCCTGTTACACTGTAGCACAAACATAAACTGCAAAATCTAGTGTGAGAAAGGGCTGAATTAAACCACAGGATTTCATAAGGAAAAATAATGAAAGGAGAGAAAAAGTGAATGTACAGAACTCAAAATAAGGAAAGCTTTATCATCAAAAAAGCAAAATAAGTAACTACACAAACTCATTTGGTCACTGAGCTAGCTTCCAGGAAGGGCAAAGGATGCATAAGATGTGGAGAATAGGACAAAGCAAATAAAAAAGAAGCAAAAGCAACATCTGTCCACACAAAAAAACATATCCCTGCCAGGACTGCTGTGGAAACCCAGATACCAGGTCCGCAGTCACTGACCAACTGCTTGGCACCAACCGTTTCAAATATAACCCCAGCCGTGCGGCCAGGCAGCTGTCAGCAAAAGCACTGGCTTCACATCAGAGCGACTCAACGCAGCACTGCAAAATGTGAAAATGAGTCTAATTTTAAGCAGAAAAAAACCCTAGTTATAAGTAAATGTGCATGCTAAGTCAGTTCATAAGCAAGTATTAAAAAACACACAACTATTTGTGGGGACATACACAAACACATAAGCCACCTTTATATTTTCACTTTATTTATTTAAATTTATCTGTTGTCTGACGGTACCTTAGCACTGTTGGCTGAATTCAGGTGGCCTGTTTTCTTGATCAGAAACCAACAGAACAGAATCTGTAGAACATTTAAATAGCCCGATCATATATAAAATGTTATGATTAAATATATTTAGATTACATATCATACAGAACATAATATATGACAACAAAAACCACTACACTTATTAAATATTTTTATCAGACAAAACTCTTGGAGCTCAAAAATCTTATTAATACAACTTTTTAATTAAAATTTTAGAAGAAATTACTTGTTTAAGTTTATTCTTCTCCACTGTCCACGTACCTACAAGTAAAAATAAAATGTGGGCACTTGGAATTCTCAAGGATGCAATATTTTTGAATAATCAAGTGTTCTATGATTAAATGAATGAATGAATGAAAGTCACTCAGTCGTGTCCGACTCTTTGCAACTCCATGGACTATACAGTCCTCGGAATTCTCCAGGCCACAAGACTGGAGTGGGTTGCCATGTCCTCCTCCAGGGGATCTTCCCAACCCAGGGATCGAACCCATGTCTCCCGCATCACAGGTGGATTCTTTACCAGCTGAGCCACGAGGGGAAGAAGAATACTGGAGTGGGTAGCCTATCCCGCCTCCAGAGGATCTCTCCGACCCAGGAATTGATCTGGGGTCTCTTGCATTGCAAGTATTCTTTACCAGCTGAGCTATAGTTGGATTCATCTTTTCTGTGCTAAAGTTCACAGTTTAATGCATTCTGAATAGTCGCCGCCTTTTAGAAACGTATCTGTGGGCATCCTTGGTGGCTCAGTGCAGTGGGCTCCTGGCAGTGCAGGAGACATGGGTTCAATCTCTGGTCCGAGACGACCCCACAAGCCACACGGCAACTGCGCCTGTGTGCCACAACTATGGAGCCTGTGCCAGAGCCCGGGAACCACAGCTCCTGAGACCACATGCCCCTCGGTCAGAGCAGCCCCTGCAGTGAGAAGCTCGGGCACCACAGCCAGAGAGCAGCCCTTGCCCTCCATCCCCAGAGAAAAGCCCACGCGGCAATAAAGACCCGCACAGCCAGAAATAAATAAAGCTATTAAAAAAATAGACACACGTGGGACTTCCCTGCTGGTCCAGTGGCTAAGACTCTGCTCTCCCAACACAGGGGTCCGGGTTCCATCGTGGGTCAGAGAACGAGATCCCACATGCCGGAACTAAAGACTCTGCATGAAACAACTGAGACCTGGCACAGCCAAATAAACAAAGAAAGTATTCAAAAAATCAAAACATTCTATACTAACCGTAATTCCATTACATGGTATTGGCTCAGGGCATTATTATAAACTTACTACTACGATACGAAGAAATAATACACTTTCCCCATTTCCTACTCGCCCTCCTTCCATACACAAATCAACATATACACAGGCACACACAGACAGACATAAAATCCGTTGAGCAAGCTCTAAGTTAACGTTTTCAGGAGGGTGGTGCAAAGACACATTTCCAAACATCACTGATTCGGAATGGAAGGCTGCTGGTCTCACTCCTGCCTTTCCCTGCCTCTGCCAGAATCCCACACGGCCTCCAGTGCACAGAACAGAGAGGTACCCGTGCATCGAAGACCACACTGCCAGGGTACAGAGGTGGGCTCGGCGCTCGGCTCCGTGGGAGCACTCTGCCCTCTCTCCATCGTCCACCTGCCTCTTCTCTACAACAGGACATGGTGCTGGCAGTCTCAGGCGATATTTTAAGTCCACCTGTCCTCAACATGGTTCTCTGCTGCCCTTTCCTTTTTGCTTCTCCCTACTCTGCTTTCTGTTGTCTTCTTCTCCTGGACTCTGTCCTGGAAACCTCACTTTCTCTAGGTACCTCTAAGCAAGAAGACCTCTTTTTCTTTTTTAGGCCACCCATTATTCCACAGTCATCATGTATAATGCTTCATCTCTTCTAGGTCACATATTTCACTTAAAGGCATTTAAGAGGTTATTCGAAGACGACGACTACTAAGCTGACCTAGGTCTTTAGGCGTCAGCCAGAAAATTAGAAATTACGCTGCAAAACAAGAAATCATGCTTCATGGCTGTCCCTTTTTCTCATTCTATGTATAATAGTCACCGTATTGATTCTTTGACCTGCTTAAACTAACTTTTTCTCATTCACCACACAGTTACTGTGCTAAACACTAAGTTAGGTGCTGGGGACACAATGATAAAGTCAAATACTATGACCCTTAAAGCTTCAGCAATGTAATCCAGTTGCACAGTTTACCAAACACATTCCAGCTCCTGAGGACCCCTTAAGAGTCACATACATCTGTGACATCTGGCTATCAAAATTAAGAGCATTCTTTCAAGTCTTTTCAAGTACTTCTCTACATGACAGACAAAACCCAAACAAAATTCTTTCAAGAGTATTCAGATGCTCCTCCACCCTTCACTAGGGCACAGCCCTCTTTCAAGGGAGAAATTACATAGGAAGTCATAAGAAATTAAGAAACGCTTTAGAAAGCAATTTACGGCATAAAAGATACTGTGGTCACATCACCCTTGTATTCAACAAAATCCTACAGCATTCCAACCACATTCCAAGGACGTCTAACATTTTAAAAGGGCATATCTAATGCGAGTTAAAGGAAGAGTTTTAAGAGGAGGCCCTCAGCCTTCTACGAAACTGCTATTCCCTATTCCATCCATTAGCCTAGCATATAAAGTAAATCACAGTCATATCACAAACAGACATTAAAAAGTTTCCACTTTAGATATTTAACTTAGTTTGGGAAAGGATACTTATTCAAAATTTTTCTAGAGTAAGAACCAAGAAGTTATAAAACTTTATAAGAGAGAAAACAGTCAAGATTAATTCTTAACCTTGGAGCCATTTTGTAAAATTATAAACTCTTTATCCTGGAGGAACTGATTTCTCTATGTTGTCTTTATCGCCAAGCACAGCCCACATACCTGTGTGGCTACGGATGTGAACTCTCAGCGTTCCACTGCTGGCAAACTTCTGGCCACAATATGGACAGATCTTCTCCTTTTCTCCTGTATGCGTCTAAACAGAAAGAAATAAAATGGGTTGAGGATAAATGTAAAGAATTAGGTAAAAATGATTAAGTGCCTCTGACAACAGTAAATCCTTTTTTCCCAGGATTATGTTTCTTTAAAATGATTTAATATCACAATGAGATTTTAAAAAATTTATCATGGGTATTCCCACTGGTTCAAAAAAACCTCTTAGAATCACGCATTAGTGTAAATTTGAAAATAATTCTGCAGTTTACATTTTAAGCCTTTATGGAGCCCCCATCTAAAAATGATTAAGTTATACAACCAGTATATGCTAGCAAAACCACATAATCAAAATGGGGCTACACCTGCCCATGACTGCTGCCAAGAAACCCTTCTTTAGAAGCATTTTTCACATTCTTTGTGTGCACTTATCGCTTGAAGACAGAATAAATCTCAATAAAGTACTCTGTTACTTGTATCATGTTTGTTCAACTGAATTGCTTTTAATACAAAGCAAAAAAAAAAAAAATCTGATTTCATCTTGAAAATCAGCAAGTGTTAAATGAACAGTCAATCTCAAAGATCACTGTTGCCTTCAACATATCTTTTATCTGAGCATAAAACCACCACACACGGAAAGGTGAATGAGTACCATCAAAAGCCAGTTTTGATAAAATGTGAGAGTTCAAAGAAAAAAAAAAAAAAAGAGTGACCTCTCCCAAAAGAGGAGGCAGATGGAATACTTAAAACTTGTCTCACAATCTCATTAGGTGACCAGTGCTTCTACCAACATCAAAATAGGTCATTTCAATAAATGAGGGGTCAGAGCTACTCTTCAAGTTTCATTGTTTTTTCAAACTTAGCAGGAGGGAAAAGAAGGGAGGAGGAGGCAATCACTTCAGATACCTGTACATTCTCTCAAATCATTTTTAGATTTTTTATTTCAATGATAACCCGAATATGAATAAAAGCATACCGTGGATCATCTGGGTTACCACCACCATTACAAAACAGAACTTCCAGGACCTGTGTCTGGAAGCATTTGCTTTTATGCAAATTATTAGAAGTATTATTTGAATTGTCATGAGGTTGCAAAGAGTCAGACATGACTTAGCAACTAAACAATAACAACAAGAAAACATAGAAAGAACAGGAAAAGTTTTTAAAAATGATGTGTTCCCAGAAGGGAAAGACAGGCCGGCTGGAATAGAGGAAAAAGGGTGGAGCATTGATGTCACACTTGACAAACCTGAAGAATCACGAACTCAGCAAAACATTCTCATCTTCAATATTAAAACGACTTCTGTTGCTCTTGCTGAGCTACTAAGTTGTATCCAATTCTTTTGTGACACCATGGACTGTAGCCCGCCAGACTCCTCCATCCATGGGATTTTCCAGGTAAGAACACTGGAGTGGGTTGCTATTTCCTCCTTCAGAGGATCTTCCAGATCCAGGGATCAAACCTGCACCTCCTGCATTGGCAGGTGGATTCTTTACCACTGGGCCACCAGGGAAGCCCCAAATTGATTGTTAATATAACTCAGTTTCATTACCTTACTGGTTGATATTTACTTTATAAATTTTCATATTTGAATTATAATCTGTATTTGGATATAAACTATCATATTTGTAATTTGTAAAAAGTTATAAATGAAATATCTTCCTCAACTTCAGTGTCCTTTAGGTTTTCTCTGTTGAAAAAGATTTATATGATTCACAAGTTTGAGGAATACAGTCTAATCAAGAGCCATAATAGCCAATGATACTGTCTACAACAGACAGCTCCTTGATTTTGCATTTGGCAGGCACTTAACTTTCCATTTTCACTACAAGTTCTTGTACAAAACAGTTATACATTCTTTACACCTCAGCAAGAACTGTTATTCCCATGGTCCACATTATGGTTCAGTTTAAAGAAATGGTATAACATTTTAACATATAACAGACCTGTGTTCTTAGTCCCTGACAGAAGGGGCAAAATATGGCCATTCTTTCTGATTAATGTAACACTGTTTACAAATTTTATACAGCTATAAAATGTACTTTGGATTATTCTGAACAGGCAACTACCAAGTTATTTGTAATATCTTTATAAAATCCACAGGATCTCTCTTGCTGTTACATAAGTATCTCATTGTTCCCTTACTTATAACTCAGTTACTTGTACTTCACTGGTATAAGTTTCAAACTAAAGGACATTAAGGCAATAGTAATGAAAATAATTAAAATGTTCCTTTCAGTTTAATTCAAAAATATGTATTATTAGGTGCAGAATTTGATTGGATGGTATAAGATGATACTGAAAGTATAACACTAAAAATCTTAAATATGGGTAAGAAAGCATGGAAACAAATCTACATGAGAACAATATGTGGATAAATACAGGAGTGAAAAATAAACAATACACTGGAAAATATCTTCTATGACAACCTGTCATTGCAGACAAACAACTCTATCTTTCCTGAAAACACACTACATTTTCTCTCATTGATTAAAACACAACAAAAGGTTAATAAATTCATGAAAAAGTAATCCTACAATGGAAGTTAAAACATTATTCTATTCAGAGTTTTGAAAAGAGAAGACAGTATCATTATTACTGAGCATTAAAGATGCAAGAAAAGAAAGTTACTCAGTTCAGTCCTTTTGAAACAGCTGTATTAAGGATAGGTGCCAAAATAAGAGTTATAATGACAGAAGTCACTTCAACCTTCACTCTGCAGGGCACAATGAGCAACAGGACACTACCACAGGTCACAGTCATTTCTAAAGTCAACACTGAGACCTTCGGCTTCATTAACCATAGTATGAATTTTGCCATTTCAAAAATATACTTAAAATGCATTTAACCGACAAGTAAAAACAACCTGTTGATTTTCTGGAGGTAATCAGGATAACACAACTATGATAATCTCCAAATCACCATCAGTATGAACATCGTTTTATTCGAGTTGAGCAAATACTTATCAAGTCCCTGTTCTATACCAGGAACTTCCCTAGGTCCTAGGGATGCAAGACGTAGGAGGACCACTCCAATCACTGAGCAGTCTGTATAACTATCAGCACAGTGTGGGACTACATAGCACCATACCTAAATCTAGGTTTGCTTTCAAACATATCCTCTTCTGATAAAATGAAGAAAACAGACATATGCTGAAGAGTTAGTATCAATCATGGGTTCCTTATTTGTCATTCTGAGTAAATATGTTGATAGATTAATATAAAATTGATCACCATTTAAATAACACATACACCTATACGGTTAAAATACATAATCCTTTCAAAGTCACAGAAGGTCTCTACTTACTTTCTTATGACTTCTAAGCACTGAAGGTGTAACAAATGCCTTATTACACAGCTCACATCTGTACTTCTTGTGTCTTTCGTGGACCACCTGGACATGAACATTCAAGGTGTCCTTTCTTTTAAAGGTAGCATCACAGTGATGACACTTGAATGTCCTCTCACCTTAGAAATGAAAAAATCAAATTACAGAACCAGATGCAACAACAGGGTGCTGTTAACACCCCTTCATGTCTACCGGATTTAGTGTTGTTTTCTCCAAAAACGGAACTTTACAGCTCTAATAATTTATCATAATCATAAAAGGTAATTCCTCCAACAACTTTTTCAGTTCCATATTTGCTATCCCCTGTGTCAATTAGGTGGGGGCAGGGGGGAGTCCTTTAACCTCCTTAGACTCTCAGTGCCTCTAACTGGAAAATGTAGGGACTAAATTAGCTAATTTTCTGAAGGTTCTAAGAACTTTAACGGCAGTACTTCTAGGAAGGAAGGGGCTTGAGTATGAGGGGCCCAGGCACTTGTGCCCGGCAGTGAGTTGCCCTGCGGGTCCTCCTGAAGTCCCCGCACCCCAGCACTCTCCTCTGGCCGTCAGAAGCAGGGAAGAGCTGGCGCTCGGACAGGAAGCTGCTGTGAAGGCCCGAAGGAGGAGGTCAGAGTGCGTCCTCCACCCCGGGACAGGAGCGGGCTGCATCTCCCCTTTATCCCTCAGCCCACTGGCGCTGTCCTCAGCTCACTGCAATAAGGCTGGGGACGGGCTTCCATGTCCAGGTGCCCCTCTGGGGGCCACATCTCAGAGAAGCATCTGCACTGAGGCAGGGGAACCAGACAGGCAACGACCTTTCCTACCCCAGAGCCCTGGGTGCCTGGGAGGGTTCTCACCTGCTCATTAAACAGCCTCCCCTTGTAGGCAAGTACTCCAGAAGATAGGTTTAGGGAGATGGTGGGACTTTTTAAACTTTCGTATCAATCTATGTCTAAAGTCCATTTTAAATACATTTTAAGTGATCCATGTGCCCAATTAGAAGATAGTGATCTCTCCCAAAAAGTCATAAAACATATGCAACCTGTATAAAGACAGATTAGTGTTTGCATATATCCTCCCTTTTTAGAGACCAATTATAATAGCACAAATTCACAAATTATATCCATTATAAGACAAAATATGCTGGTAAATTTCTTTACCTAAATATGAGATTATCTCAATTTCAACCAAGATCCTTTACCTTCCCCTCCATTCTAACTAGCATATATTTAGAAATTTGAAGACCCTATTATTTCTTCACACCAGTTTAAGGGAGGACAAAAAGAAAATAAAAAGGAAAAGGCAAATAACCTCCCCTTCGTCTTTTCAAACAGAAGTTCAGCTCTTGAAAGTCTCAAAGTCTGTGAGGAAGCTGTTGAGCTGTGAGTTGGACACCTGAAATAGTGCACCAAACTGTGCGTGAACTGTGTAGATTCCGAGAGCTGGGTTTGTATCTTGCCTTTGTGCATTCTTGCTGCAGGCTGTTACTGCTGTCATCTCATTTCTCTTCATGTATCTTTCGTGATTTAATATTTTATTTGCATAAAATGTATAACCAGTGAGAGTGAAAGGACAACTGACATAAGACTCTAAAAGTTAATAATACCAAATCTACTCAGGCACTGGATAAAACTACTCCAAGTTTGCTCTTATTAAAGTATTTCCCTTAAAGCATTAAGTGAATCAAAATATTGGCTCCTGTACACAAATCTCATCAAGCTATACCAAGGTAGTACATACCTTTTTGTTTTCATATTTTAATTCCTGATTTTTTATTTTAAAGTTTATCAGAACTTTGAAATCCTCATGTGAGATTTTATCTGATTTTATTAGATTTCTTTACCTTAAATTTACCAGGATTTTTCCCTATCTTAAAACCAAGAAGCAAGCTAGCAACCTGCCTTTTGGTCTTCAGTGTATTAGGAAAAAACAATAACTTCTAAAATAATTATGACAACTTATTCTTCATATTTGGAACCATAGTGCTAATGCAAGTTTCTAAAACAAATCTATTTTGAAGTTAAATGGGCTGTAACTTTTATTTTTTTTTTTTTTTAAATTTTTATTAGTTGGAGGCTAATTACTTTACATCATTACAGTAGTTTTTGTTATACATTGATATGAATCAGCCATGGATTTACATGTTTCCTCATCCATTCGTCTGCTGATGGGCATCTGGGTTGCTTCCATGTCCTGGCTATTATAAACAGTGCTGCGATGAACATTGGGGTGCATGTGGCTCTTTCAGATCTGGTTTCCTTGGTGTGTATGCCCAGAAGTGGGATTGCTGGGTCATATGTAACTTTTATATTAGATAAGACAAGATCTAGTATTTTGTCCTCTCTATTTTAGCCATTTTTGGTTTTCCCACCCTTTCAGCTCACTAGCCTTAAGTGATGTTTACCTTATAGGACACATTTGCTCAGCCACTACCCAAGGTGCCCTTCCTGGCTAAATGTCTTGATGTGGCCTCATAAAGCCCCTGGCTGCTGCGCTGACCAGCAGATTAGCATCATGCGAAATGCAGAAAGCACAAGCTCTGTCCACGCTCAGTCACGCCATCTTAGCCTCAAGTGGGTGAGAGCCAAAGGGCTGAAATCAAAAATATCTGCTTCAACTAAAAGCTTCTTGCTGCTACAAAAAATTTCATCCATCAGAAAAAATTCCCTGAGCATCAGACCAAGAACAGCTATGGAAGTCTTAACAATATAAATGAGATTCCCTTGTCTGAATCCCTATTCTAAAGTCCCTTCAGCTCATAACAGGTTTTCTCTTAATCAAATGACAGTGAAATGAGATGGAAATTCCTGCTGTTAATGAAAAAATTTATTTCTTAAATGCATAGCTGTTCTTTATAAGGAAAATGGAAAGTGGTGCTAACAACTTCTCTAGAGCTTTAAGGTGACTATAGAATGACATGAAATCACAGCACTGTCTTTTCCATAGGAAAAGATGCAGTTCGTCACAACTGTTACCACTCCATAAATACAGAAACTTCATTACCTTCTTATTTTACACGTTAGATACTTTGACTTGACCAGAGAAAATTTCTTCCAAGATAATAGCTTATCTGTACAATAAAACGTCAAGATTGATTGTTCTGCTTTCCTCAGAAATATTAAAAATTTAATCAGCAGTAGAAACTATATGTTAGGGGATGTTCTACTGATTAAACAACTCAAATTAAAAGCAAGACCTGTAAGTATTACTTATGTTATACCGTTTTTATTTAACTTTAGATTTAGCAAAGCAGATACACATCTCTGGTTACTTCAACATCTGAACACAACTCACTTTTAAAAGTTCATTTTGCAATTACATTTTCTTTAAAGTGTGGTATTCTAAAATCAGCTCTCAGTGTAACTGCTAGACACACTTTCATGGTATATATGTAAATAACTTAATTCTCACTTCCTCTCAAAAAAAAATGCCCTTGCCAAAAGAAATAAGAATCAGAGCAGAGCAGCCGACGCTGGCGTGCTATACCTGCTGCCCCGCCGTGCCGTGCGGCCCGGAGTGCGTCGCGATGCTTCTCTGAGCCTCGATTTTCCCAACTCCCCTCAAGTGAAGAGCTCAAGCTAGACACTGACTCTGATTCTTTCTCACCGTAAAAGCCTGTGAGCCAATAAAATCATGCCAGGTATCTGCATGTTTTAAAGCATCCCTTAATTATTACACTTAAAAGGAACATAAATGTCTCTTTCAGAGCAAATTTCAAAGATACTCTATTGACCATGACATGGTTTCATACACAAGCTTTAAAGAGTGAGAAAAATGATATAAAACGATATGCCTCATAAAACGATCCATCTTACCTTGCAAAAATGAAGCAAGAACAGAGGAAGAAAAGGTGAAAGGCAAGAATCTATTTTAAGTTCAAAAGCAGATTACGTAACTACTTCATAGTTCTGCTTCTGTGATGTCTACATTCCTTTGGTTGTCATCTGCCGGGACTGTGACTTACTGTTATGTATAAGCAGGTGTCTCTGCAAAGAAAACGGAGTCCGGAAGAGAGCTTTGCACTCCTCACACTGGAACGGCCTCTCCTCCGAGTGGGTCTGTGGAAGGAAGACATCCTGAGTCAGGGGGCCCTAGAATCACCCAGTCGTGACAGTAACCAGCGCCGGATTCACGATGGGGACCCGGAGAGACAGGGAGGCAGACAACGTCCTGTTTCTTCTCGGACATTCTCCCATAAAATCGGAAACACAAACAGGCTGTATTCACAGGAGAAAAACAACTGTATTTTTAACTTCTCATATTAATTACACACTTGATAAGCAGTAAAAGAAATTGTTCCTATAATCTCAAAGGCTAATCTGAATACACAAGGAGCTTTCTCAAGATCTACTTTGCAGAGTGAAATGATATGTGATTTCTCTAGAGCCCAAACCTCCTTTACCATTGGACAGACTTTATGCTGGTCCAATATTTTCAACACAAAGGAAACTGGTGTGAGGGAGGCTGTTTCTATACTTTCTCTCAACTTCACTGACTAACTTCAAATAATTTTCAGTCCTAAGAGCTGCTTTTCCCCTGAATTAAATTCGAGCATTCACTCACGTTATAATTAACAGCAGGTAAAATACATTATTTTTATTGATAACACTTGATAAACATTTTACATGAATTTATTTCACTTAAATCTAACAGCAGTTTAATAAATAAAATGCTATTAGGGTCCCCATATTATAGATGAGAAAACTAAGGTTCAGAAAGTTTCAGTAGTGTGTCAAATGTCAAGCAGCATACATGCGGTAAGCAGCATTACTTACGTGACAGACAAAAATATATGTATAAGCAAGAAACAATAGAAAACCACCTGCTAGGTCTAAAACATAAAACAACAACAGTAAAAACAGCTTATCACCTCCCCTGTTTTCCATTACACATCAGTATTAACCCATTTGTTACAAATTCATAAAGAAAAATATATTCTACTATGGATGATGGCAAGATAACAGTGCTCATAAATGCTAATATATAAAAAACTGAACTATGTTCTCTTGTTAAAGTAAATCATACAATTGATGGGCTGTGTCATGATACTTGAGGTATAGAAATAATGGGAATAATTTAAAGAGAAGTCACTTTATTTATAGGATATATATTTATACATCTTCCTAGTCTAATAGACATTATAATATTAAAGATATAAATATTACCCATTAACATAATGTTAGTGAAAAAGAGACTGTTGTGCTTTTTTGACTGTGAAAAATACACATAAAGCATGGGAGGAACAAATATTTAAAACTCAGGACAAACTACAGGTGTTCAAATGTACTAGTTACAGAGATATTTAAATGAGAGAAAGGAATAAATATGTCAACAAAATAGAACAAAGAGTTTCACAATACAAGATATAGGAACATTTAGTGTAGGAAAAGATGACATTTCAAATTTGTGTAAGAATACTGGATTGTTCCGGAGAAGGAAACAGCAACCCACTCCAGTATTCTTGCTTGGAAAATCTCATGTACAGAGGAGCCTGGCAGACTACAGTCCACGGGGTCACAGAGTCAGACATGACTTAGCGACTAAACAACTGGATTGTTCAGTAAATGGTTGTAAGGCAATTGAGACATTCAGAAAAAATTAAGTTGTGCCTATTCCCACCTGTTACAAGAAACAAATCCCATTTCAATTCAGATGTTTTCTCAAATCTGAAGAATAAGATACTAGAAGGAAATAGTGAATATTCAAATAATCTTTGTGTAGGGAAAGACTTTCTAAGGATGGCAGAAACCCAGGTACTCAGGTGAGAGAAAGAATTAAATTTAAAACTGCAAAACAAAAATATCTGGGACATAGAAAAATCTGCAACATAAACCAAAAGTTTTAAATTGCTAATATAAATGGTTGTAACAAATTAAAAAGAAAACATAAAAATTCCCTCCAAAAGGGTAAAAGGACTGTTCCCCAAATAGCACTCTTTACATTTCTTTCATTATTTATTTTGTGCCAAGTCTATGACATGCACTTCATGTCAGTCTTGTTTTATATTCTGTGGCTACAGTTGTGCAAAGGAAAGCAAATGCCCCCGCCCTCACTGGGCTCTTATGCCAGCAGAGAGAAGAATTAGCAAATGATGAAATACCAGATACACGCTACAGAGAACGACAGAGCAAGGCAGGAGAGTGTCAACGCTTTCAGAGAATGGGGTAGCTACTTTAAACAGCGGCCATGGAAATTCTTGCTGAGATGACATGTGAGCGGCCTGATGGAAGTTGGGGAGCTGGGCCAGGCCTCCTAGGTGCTCCAGGAAGGAAACCAATGGAGGCTAGTGTGATGGAAGCTGAAAGGAAGATACACAGAAACGAGGAGATGAGGTCAGACAAATGGGAGAAGCATCCACAGAGATAAATCATGAAGGACTTGGTGAGTCCCCTGCAGGAATTTTGTCTTTCACTGAAAGAGACACAAAATGTCTATAATGCATTTTGAGCAGGTAAGAGGTATGATTCACTTGGCATTTAGAAAGCTAATAAGGTGGCTAAGCTGAGAAGAGGACGAAAGGAAGACAAGGAAAAGCAGAGACACCAGAGAAGCAACAGAAATAGAGTAAGCAAGAGATTATTAAGACCTACACCAGGGTGGTAGCCACTAACCTGAAGAGAAGTAGGAGGTTTCTGGATGTATTATGAAAGCAAGCAGGCTTTCAGAGGGACTTGAATGTGAAACATAAGACACAGAAAGAAGAAAGCAAGCATGCCTCCAAAACTGTGACATAAGCAATGGGGTAGTATGGATCAATCATTAACCAATACATGAAAGAGCAAGAAAGGAACAAGTTTGGGTAAAAGATAAGGGGTTTGATTTTGGACACCTTCAGATGACTATTAAGAGATGTCAGTAGGCAGCTGAATATTTCACATCTGCATTACAATGGGTATAAAACGTGGGGACATCATATTACATACAGTATTAGTACTTCAAGCCATGAATACAGTTAGAGAATGAAAAATTTAAAACAAAATATGACCCGTGGTCTATCAGACTGGCAAAAGTGAAGAAACCAACATCATTTGGTGTTGACTAAAGGGTAAGATCAAGTAGTCTCACATCTGGTAGACGGGAATGTAAATTTTCTGAGTGCAGTGTGGCTCTATTTACAAAATGATAAATGTGTGTACACCTTTTGACAAATCAATTCTGTTTATAAATATATATATGACAATTTTTCTGAATGTTGAGCTTTAAGCCAACTTTTTTCCACTCTCCTGTTTCACTTTCATCAAGAGGCTCTTTCGTTCTTCTTCTCTTTCTGCCGTAAGGGTGGTGTCATCTGCATATCTGAGATTATTGATATTTCTCCCAGCAATCTTGATTCCAGCTTGTGATTCCTCCACCCCAGCGTTTCTCATGATGTACTCTGCATAGAAATTAAATAAGCAGGGTGACAATATACATCCTTGACATACTCCTTCTCCTATTTGGAACCAGTCTGTTGGTCCATGTCCAGTTCTAACTGTTGCTTCCTGACCTGCATACAGGTTTCTCAAGAGGCAGGTCAGGTGGTCTGGTATTCCCATCTC